TTGATGGTCTGTTCCACAGTGGGACCCTGGTCTTGTTTTTGCTGATGACATGGAGTTTTCCACCATCTCTCTCCACAGATGTAGTCAACTTGATTTCTGTGTATTCTAGTATTAGAGCGCCAGTATTAGAGGCCTTTATTTCCTCAGTTGTTTTATGTTATCATAACAAGTCAGACCTGGTTTTGAAATATATTTCATAAACAATTCATTCCTTCAACTTTTCCATATAATTTGATATTTGTATTGTTTTAAATCTAATATAATTATAAAAATAATATATGTACTTAAAGATAGCTTAAGATTTTTAAAGAGACTGAGTAGTTCTAAGGAATCCTGGTGTAGCGTTGCAGGATAAGCACTGGACTTAAACCAGTCACTGCTTGGAAACCCTATATAAGGGCGCTATGAGTGCAAACTGACTAGATGGCTCTTTAACAACCATTCATTCAAAAACTCAAAAACAAACAGTTACTTAAAAATTTAGCACTATATCATTTGTTTATTTTTATCATGATTGGCATTATAAAGAAAAATGTTCCTAACTCTTCCATTAATTTCAATTATTGAATTGGATTGTATATTACAATATATATAAACCTAATGTTTAGGACTTAAATTGCTTCAAGCTTATCACTGTAAATAAAATGTGATGGACATTTTTGTTGAAAACTTCTGTATAAATAAAATTCCAAAAGTATTATTACTGTTGCAAAAGGTATGGATTCATGATTCATAACACACAATTTCAACTGTCCTTTTAAGCTTTAAATCAGTTTTACTTCCTCCAGTAATGCAAGCAAGTGCATATTTCTCTTAAACTTTTCCATCTTTAGTAATAATAATTTTAAAACATTTTTCTAATTTAAGGAAAATAATAATATTTTATTTTGTTTCTTTTATCTCTAAGGATATATATATTAGAGTCTTGGTGTGGTGCTAGAGGATAAGCACTGGACTGAAATGTCATTTGAATTACAAAGCCGGTGGTTCAAAGTCAACAGCTTTGGCACTTAATAACAACTCAATGGCACTTAATAACAACAATATAAACACACACACACACATGCATATATATACATATATATATTTTTTACATTTCTGAATGGTAGACTGTTTTTAAGCACATGTAAGAAACAGTCCCCAGAGGTGTCTCAACAGTTCTTACACATTTCTGTTCTTATAATTTTTTCTTCTTGACTATTTTTAAAACATTACCTATTCAAAAAAAAAACACCTTTTTCTAAATGTGTTTATAAAATCTATGAGTTTTCTGGGGTTTTATTAATTTTTCCTTTTAATCTTCACTCTTTTCTTTTACCTGAATTCCTTGAGTTTATTTTTCTGACTTCTTAAATTGCTTGTTTAGTTCATAAAGTTGAATCAAACCATTTAAAACAATAGATTACCTCTAAGTACAAATTTGGCCATATATATTAATCTTTTACACTGTGAATTTCTTTTATTTTATAAATGGTCTCCAATAAATTAAAAATATAAACTTGGTAATAACTTTAAAATGATAAATATTTAATATTACTTTCAGTTCCTCTAAGTTAACTTCTTCCTTCTTTCTTTCTTTCAGGTAATTTCATAGTCTTCCCTTCAGACTTTCTGATTCAATGGACCAAGTAAATGGCTCTGTGGTAACTGAGTTTGTATTGCTGGGACTTGCACATTCTTTGGGAATGCAACTTCTCCTTTTTCTCTTCTTCTCGCTATTCTATGTGGGAATTATCTTAGGAAACCTCTTCATTTTATTCATAGTGGTTTTCGATCCTCTCCTACAATCGCCCATGTATATTCTGCTGGCCAACCTATCACTCATTGACTTGGGTCTTTCATCTACCACAATTCCTAGGATGATTTCTGATCTTTTCAGTGACTATAAAGTCATTTCCTTTCAAAGCTGCATGGTACAAATATTCTTTATCCATGTGATGGGAGGAGTTGAGATGGTGTTGCTCATCGCAATGGCATATGACAGATACACAGCCATCTGTAAGCCTCTCCATTATCTAACTATTATGAATCCCAGAATGTGCACATTTTTGGTAGTGTTTGCTTGGGTCATTGGAGTGATTCATGCTGTGACTCAGTTTGTTTTTGTTGTAAACTTACCTTTCTGTGGTCCTAATAACATAGGAAGCTTTTACTGTGATTTTCCTCGGGTTATTAAACTTGCCTGTAT